TGTAATGGGTGTTGGGCAGTCTGGGGCCAGACCCTTTTCAGCACTGGTGAAGCAGGCGCTGGCCAGGGTCAGCCATGGAAGATGCCGTTTCTTAATCCAGGGGCACTTCCTGAGTGTGGCTGCTGCCTTAGTCTTTCTTGAAGCAAACTGTGCCTAGGATCCCTAGGGGGGACCCTCCCCTGGCTTTGGGGGTGGGAGTGGGGGGCATGGGTCCCACGGGTCTTTCATCCCAGTCCTGGTTGTTATCGATATTGATTCTTGGACAGCCATTCAGGTCACTGTGCCCCCTGGGGTGAGGCTCTGGGGCAGCGTAGCTGGGGCCAGAGGAGCTCTGCTCTCCCTGAAAAGCACAAGGTGCAGCCCAGCGTGACATCTGCACAGTGCTGGGGGTGCCATGTGCTGCCTGTGCCAAGTGCGGGGAGGTGTTTTGCTCCGAGGGTGAGGCTGCTGGAGAATGAAGAGCAGCTGCAGGGACAGGATGTGGTCTCTGTGCATGATGCATTTGTGAACTGCAGAGGCCCTTCTCTGTTCACACTGCCCGGGTGTGTGCACGTGCCCCAGGGGAGGGAAGTACAGGGCATTGCACTTCAGTGATGGGGAGCGTGCTGTGCCAGAAGGGTAAAGGGGGGGGAAGCAGAGTTTATCGCGACCTGATCCCTTAGGTTAAAGCTACAAATTACCTGGTTTTCACTAGCATTTTCCCTCATGTCAGTTACCACGTGTCAGCTAACACCAGGTAAGAACGCGCCTCTTTTCCTAGTGAGGACAGGGCCCAAGACTCTCAGGCACCTAAGATGAATAGCAAGGACATCCGATTTCTGTTACCCTTCCTTGCCTCCTGGTCTTAGGCTAGGTTAGAGCCTGACTAAGCCCATCATTTAGACTCTATGTTCTTGGGGACAGGGCCCAAAGCTCCATACGTTTTCTGTCAAGTTCTTAGCCCAGCTGAGTGTGCTACAGAATAATAATAATAAAATTAAATAAGGGAAAATATAACGATCTCTGATTGCATCAGGCAAATGTAAAATACATTTTACAATAATCCCTGGCTAGGAATGTAGCAGTCAGCATTTTCAATTTACCTCCCCTACTTCCATATTATAAAATCTGCCTGTTTCATCATATCTAAAACCTGTTTTCAGTGCTGAAAAGCCCTTGGGTCTGACAACCTCTTTCCCACAGCTGGTTGTGGGGGGCTTGGCATGTGCTGCTGAGGATGGTAGGGATTTCTGCTATGGTGCAAGGGTAACCGAAAGAGAGCTGGGGGCAGTTTTCTCCCTCCCCTAGCTTCTGTTAGTCACTGCTGTGCCCAGCCCTGCTGAATGCCTCGTTGTGACTTTCCCTGTTCTGACTGAGCACAGTTCCTGCTCCAGCTACACCGACAGTTGCAGACCAAGGGGAGTCCATCTCCTCTTGCCTGACTGGTGAATTCCAGATGGCTGACACTGAGATGACTCTGCCAGTTACAGTCTGACTAACTTAGACCCTGTGTGCACATTTCCCGGCCGTTTACATTGAGTAATCTCCTCTGCAAACACATATTCAGCTACCATCTCTATGCTGACAACTCACAGATCTGCCTCTGTGCTCCAAACCTGTCTCCTTCTCTCCAACCTAGAACCTCAACCTGTCTCTCTGACATCTCCTCGTGGCGGTCGAGCCAGCAGCCTGACCTCAGCATGGCTAAACCCCAGCTCCTAATCTGCCCTCCCTGCTCCCTCTCTTCTCTATCACTGGGGTCAACACCACATCCTGCCTGTCACGCAGGCCTATAACCGGGACGTCATCATTGACTCAGCCTGGATGTGAGGATCTAGGCCCAGGGAGAAAACTTGCCAATTCTTTCTGAATAGCATCTCTACGATAGGCCTTCCACCCAGCTACACCTCTCCTCAGGGGTCTCATCATCTCAATATTGCAACATCCTTCTCTCGGACCTTGACAAATGCAGTCTTTGAATCATAGAATCATAGAACTGGAAGGGACCTCGAGAGGTCTTTAGTCCAGTCCCCTGCACTTGAGGAAGGACTAAGTATTCTAGACTGTCCCTGACAGGTGTTTGTCCAACCTGCTCTTAAAAATCTCCAATGACGGAGATTCCACAACCTTCCTAGGCAATTTATTCCAGTGCTTAACCACCCTGACAGTTAGGAAGTTTTTCCTAATGTCCAACCTAAACTGCCCTTGCTGCAATTTAAGCCCAATTTAAGTCCTGTCTTCAGAGGTTAAGAAGAACAATTTTTCTCCCTCCTCCTTGTAACAACCTTTTATGTACTTGAAAACTGTTATCATGTCCCCTCTCAGTTGTCTCTTCTCCAGACTAAACAAACCCAATTTTTTCAATCTTCCCTCACAGGTCATGTTTTCTAGACCTGTCATCATTGTATCCATCCATCCATCCACTGTCACTTGTCGTACAACTTGGACTGGAAGCTCCTTGGGCAGGGACCATCTTTGTGTTCAGTGTTTGTACAGGGCCTCATGCGACGGGCTCCTGGTCCGTGACGAAGGGTGCTAGGTGCTGCAGCAATACAAATAATAATAATAATAGACATGGAATCTCGGGTCCAAAGGCAAGTGAGAGGGCCAAAAATGGCGTTTCCATTTCCCCAGCTTTAACAATGAATGAAGGGTGGGCCGCCTGGCTCTGTTCAGGGATGCCACTGAGACTCTGAGGCCGGCTACACTGGGGCTGAGGTGTAATTTTCAGCTCAAGCAGACATACCTGTGCTAGATCTGATCAAGCTGGCAGGCTAAAAGTAGCAAAGTAGCAGCAGCAGGAGGAGCTAGCCGCCTGGGTACATGCCCCAGGTCTCAGGCAGGTGGGAGACCACTTGGGGTGGCTCAGCTGTCCCACTGGTTGTGCCACCGTGACTACACTCCTGTTTTTAGCCCAGTATGCCATCATACCTAGTGCAGGTACGTCTGCTCAAGCTGAAAATTACTCCAGTGTAGACCTACCCAAAGAGAGACGAAGTCTGAGACCTCCCAGCCCTGCAGCAAGGGAAGCAAGAGATTTCCATAGCCTCTGCCCTCAGTGCCTATCGGAACCATAGCAACACCCATGGGCACCTGGGGGTGAAGGTCGGGTGGTTCGCCTGGCTGCTCTGTGCTGTGCTACACCAGCTCTCTTCCGGTGCCCAGCAGCACCAAGCACCCCACAGCGTGGAGGCAAGAGCTGAAGGTGCTTCAGCTGCTGGGCCCCCTGGGAGCTCACCCTGCTGGGTTCCGGTGACCCCTCGGACACCCAGCTAAAGCAAAGAGGCCTTGGCTAGGGCTGGCCCAAAGGAAAGGTTGCCAATCGCCTACACCTCAAGGTCAAGCACTGCAGTTCCCATCTGTGACGAAGTGGGACTGTTCTTAATGTTTCCTCTGAATAGTGTGGGGGTGCCTCAGTTTCCCCTATGCAGTTCTTAAGTATCTAGGTGGTGGGGTAAGGGTGTATGATCATTGCAGAGCCCTAGAGGGCAGGTGTGTGCAGGAGTCTGGACACAGAGAATGGCCAACACCCTGTTTCCTGGCATAATATGGCTTCATCATATTCACATGGTACACCCGGCGGTGGTGCACCCGGTTCGACAGCTCCACCACATAGTTTACCTGTGTCTGGGGCACCTTAGCTGCAATAGCTGTCAGCAGGCTCCTGCCCCTTAGGCTGGCAGCTGGCTGGGTCCAGAGAATTCCCTCTAGGCCCCTCTCTGTTCAGTCCCCTGTTGGGTCTCTTCAGTGTCCCACCAGCTCTGCACAGACCTACAGAACACCTGTCCAACACGCTGTTAGAACACCCCAATAAACCACACGGCTCAGAGAAATGAGAAAGCCGAGGGCTGAGATCCGAACACACCTGCATTATCATAGCAGTGGGGTCGGAAGAGGTTCTCTCTGCCTTTTTTGAATAGCACCCGTCACTTTACTAGCTCCTGCTGGCAGACCTCCACAAGGTCCTAGTGCAGAAATATCACCCGCAAAGCCCCCTTCAAATATCAGAGAAAACAGGACACCGCACTCCGGGCGCCACTAGCAGAGGCAAGGACAGCCCAAGTCCAGCTAGCTTCATTGGCGAAGGCAGTTGCACATTGCTCGGGGGCTGGCAGAGAGAGCGGGCTGGAGAAGAAGGAAGATGAGGCCAGTAGAAATGGAGGCGCCATTTCAAAAATTCCATGAAGTTACACGACCACGTTTCGGAGCAGCCCGTGCATAGCAGTGCATGAAAATAGGTGTGTGCATGATTGGCGTCCATGCTTGTTACACCTGCCCGCACGCGTGCAGTCACTGTGCCCGCAGCTGGCAGCTCACGGGACCTAGACCAGGCCTGAGACACCCAGCTCGGAGAGGGGGCAGGGCTTAGCACCCCCACCCGGTCCTTGGCATCGCCCATTGGCTGGCTTTCGTGGCTCACCACCACTCGTGCTGGCTTTGTGGATCACGGGCGCCTGTCTCTGCCCAGTCCCTGTACAGGGAGCCCAGGTGCCTAACTCTGCTCTGTGGATCCCAGGGTGCTCCTGTGATTTTCTAAGCGCCCAAAAGTTAAGTGCGGTGACGCTCAGCATTGCAGTGCCTATGTCCCCTCGTGGTTCCCCCCATTGACGCTGTTCCCGTGCTCAGCGGAGCAGAGGTGAGGGTCAGAAAGAGGCAGGGGCGGAGGCAGGGGATCTGCTAACATGGCAGACTTGCCTTGGACTCCACGACATTATTTTTTCATGTGAAGTTTTAGGATCTCTTGTTGCTGCTAATTTTCCTGAGCTCTGGGACCCCCCACACCCTCCTGCCACTGCCCCTCCCCCCCCGCGGTTTGCTCAGTGTGTGCTGTGGTGGTAGGAGAGAAAGCCCTGCCCCCTGGCTTAGTGTGACTGCACCTCTGGGGGCACTGGGAGCAGGTGCTGCCGCTTGGGCCCTTCCTGGGGTGTTTCCTCGGGCTCTGGGCAGGCCACAGCGGCGCTAAGGGGGTGACCAGGCTCCATCTCCAGCCAGGCCTCAGCCTCTCGTTCCCCCCGTCACAGACACGTGCAGGAGGGAGGGAGCCTGGACCACGAAGGTGACGTTTCCCGCCGAGCCGACGGCGTTTCCGGTCAATGGCACGGTGGAGGTGACATGCACCGAGAAGCCTGAATCCGGGCCGTTCCCTGCAAAATGCACAGAGCTGAAGGACCGCGGGGCAGTCTGGGATATCAGCGGAGTCCAGTGTCTCAGTGAGTGTGAGGAGCCTGGTACACCCCCCGTGCCCACCCCCCGGGCATGGGGCCAAACCTCCCCAGCCAACCCGGGCATGGGGCTGCCACCAGTTGCGGGCAGGAAATGGCCAGGGAAACCGGGCCGGTGATAACCAGCCCCTGGAGATCAGTGACGTGATGCCGGGGCTGGGAGACCTGGGGGTGGGAGATCTGGGAAGCGTGACAATGGGCAGAGAAAGGGGGACCCCACTCCCTCAGCCTGCTGAGAAACCCCTCACAGGGCTGTCACCGTGGGCCCTCCCCACAAACACAGGCTTCCCCCCCCGGTGCACACGGCTCCCCACCAGGCCCTGAGGCGGCTGCTGGCGGCTGTGGCCGCAGCCTGGCAGGAGTCTCCGCTGGGCACTGCTGGGCAGCTCTGCGAGGAGCGAAGCCCTGAGGCCTGGGAACGGATCTCAGCATTTCTCAGGGTGCTTCTTCCAGCACTGCTTCTGAGAGCGGCCAGGCCCGGGCCTCCCGGACACGTGGTCCCCTCCCTGCCCCAGACTCGCTCCCCGAGCCTTCCCCGTGGTCACAGGCCCCTTCGTGCAGGGCCGGCCCCCGCACCTGTGCGATCCTGGGGCCAGCTCCCCAGGGCCAGGGGCTGTCAGACCGTAGGGGAGACGCCCCCATGGCCGCTCTCCTGTTCCTTTCCCAGGGATGTGCAATGATTGGGTGAGGCAGGTGGATTTTGACCCTGCACAGACGGAGTTCGGCGTCGGGGCCGAGGGTCGGGTGACCTGTCGTCAGCAGTTCCAGCAGAACTCGTTCAACGTGACGTGCAGAGAGACGGCGTCGGGGCTCTTCGAGTGGGAACTGGGTGCACACAAGTGTCTCAGTGAGTGCGGGGAGCCGGCCCTGGGGCTGGCCAGGCGCCGTCTGGCCAGGGGAGGCTCCAGCCAGGCTGCTGAGAGGCCGTGGGGAGAGTCCTGCTGCAATGAACAGCTTCCCCCCCCATGGTGTCCCCGGGGGGGGCAAGCGCGTGGGTCTGATGCCGGCTCCTGGCCCTGCTCCCTGTGCAGGAGCAGCAGAGACCAGGAACACTGTTCTCCCCACGGCCCAGTGGGGCTGACTGGTCTGCACTCGCCCTGCCCACGGCGGCCCTGAGCGTGTGAACGGAGTAAATGTACCTGAGCACGTGGGGCCTGATCCTGAGAGGGGCTGATCCTCGCAGCCCCCCACCTCCTGCTCTTGTGGGCGCCCAGCATGGTTCAGGGTCAGCCCATAATACTCAGTGGAGTCTGCCTGGTTCCAGTGACCCCCAATACGCTGCTCTCATTCCATGCCCATAGGAAAATGTAAAATACTCAAAACCTGGGACTCCAGATTGCAGTTTTCCCCCAAGGGGCAGTTCTACTCCCTGGGTGAATCGGTGACACTGAGCTGCTCTGAGGGGTATTGGCCGTCACCAGCTGTGATCCAATGTGTCAGAAATGGGAGCCTGCCTGTCTGGAGTGAGACACCCACCTGCCAGGGTAAGTGTGAGACCCCCCCGAGTCACTGTGGTCACGGGGGGTATTTATGTCCTGAATGTTCTGAAAAGTGTTAAATGACGGTGACAGCCAGTGTACGGGCAGCAGGTGTAAAGCAGTCCATCTGGGGGTGTGTGTGTGTGTCGGGGTTTGGGTTGGCAGTGCACATACCGTGTGTGTGGAGGTGCTGTGTCGGGGTGTCTGTAGGGATGTCAGGGTGAGGGTGTCTGGGATGTGTATTCCTGTGTTTGTAGGAGGGGGCTGGGTAGTGGTGGTGATTAGTGTAGGGGGGTTTGGATGGGCATTTTTAACGGGGCACGCTCCGCTCCTGCCTTCTAGCCCCACAGAAACTGCTCAGACTCCACCAGTCAGGTCTCCACAATGTGCCGTTGATGTCTGAAGTGGGACTGTTCTTAATGTTTCCTCTGAATAGTGTGGGGGTGCCTCAGTTTCCCCTACAGTTCTTAAGTATCTAGGGATAATTATATCATTGCAGAGCCCTAGAGGCAGGTGGCAGAGTACGTGGACTTTTTAATGTTTCCTCTGAATAGGTGGGGGCTCATTTCCCCTAGCAGTTCTTAATATCTAGGGGGTGGAGTAAGGGTGTATGATATTGCAGTGCCCTAGAGGGATGTGTGAGGAGCTGGACACAGAGAATGGCCGACACCCTGTTTCCTGCAACTGATGCCTGGCCCTTCCCCCTGCAAGGTGAGACGAAGGGTTGGAGAACAAGAATCAGGACCTCTGGCCCGGAAAGGAACAAACCCAGAGGAGGAGGCTGAGGGTTTTCATTTGGGGTGGCTGGGACATGGAGTGAAGGCAGAGTGGTTGTTGGCTCACTGCCCCCAGAATGGACCACTGAGGTCGTTCTTCACCTCAACTTTTTTAGACATGTTTTCGTCTAATAAACCTTCTTTTTACTTCTGAATCTACTCGGTGGGGAGACCCTGCTTCCCCAGGACACCCTGACCCTGTGGGGAGAAAATCTAATTCGAGGTCAACCCAGGAATATGTTGTGTGTGAAGAATGCTCACAGAAAGGACTACCCCAGAGTCCTGACTGACTTCATGGGAGAGTTCAGAGCATGCAGGACTCCGTGACAACTGGGCAGTGTGGATGTAGCACCCCGTGATCGCTTCTCAGTAAGTGACTGGGGGCATAACACGAAGGGGATTGGAGACCACCTCTGAAGGCTCAGAAAGAGTGGTTTGGGGTACCCCTGGGGTGTTGAGCGAAAATGTGAGTAATGGGGTCTGGGGCGCAGTGACAGTCTCAGGGCAGATTATCACCCTGGCAAAGAGGTGTGACCTCGAGAAGGGCACATAGGGTCTCCCTAGAAACGTGGGGAGTGAGAACACATGTGTGAGCCACAACAACTTGGGAGGAGGGAGGATGGTCACCGTCTCCTTAAGAAGGACATTGTCACCCTGTGCAAAAGAGAGTTACATTGAAAGTTCACAAAAGATAAATAGAGAACTAAGACAATCCTGACCCCAATGGGATGCAGATCTGGGAGACAAGGAACCAAACCCTCCCCGACCAACAGTCTTCACGAGCACATTTCCATGGGGACAAAATATAAAAAAGGAAAGAAAATAAAAAAAATGGGGCGAATAGGCCGGGGTGGTGGGGAAGGGGCTTCCGCAGGGAACTCAGACTAAATTTCCCCTGGTTAAGAGGGGGGGGGGGCCCTCTCTTTGAATCATTTGAACAAGGACTCAAGTGTTACCCCTTTGGGCAAGCCACAACTCCGCACAATGTTGGCCCACCCCCCCAACCTATTTTTGTTTCTGGGGCCCCCCGACCCCAGTGGAGCAGAAGGATGGCAATGGGGTTGCCCCCACCCCCCCTAAGGAGAAAAGGGGTAACCCTCCAAGAAAGAGGCAACCCCACACCAAACCCCCATTACTCGAAGGGAAAATTATTAATATTTCTACAGTCTTAATATCTAGGGGGAGAAGGTAATCTAAGAATGGCAAAATTTACCCCCCCCAAGGGAAGAAAAAAACACCCTGGCCGAAAACAAACCCAGAAAGGATTTGGGATCCAAATCCTTCCTCTTTTCAAAAACTTTTCAACGAAAGAAAGGAAAAAAGCAGAACACCCCAAGGAGACCAGGGACAGTCCAGAACCAGCCCAACAAACTTCCAAACCCCCCCCTCAAGTGAGAAGTGGAGACAAAAACACCCGGAAAGAAACCAGAGAAAGGCCAAAATCCAACCCCCCTTCTCTAACCTTCTGTTTTTTGGGGGGTGGGGGGACTCGGGGGGGGGGGGGGGCGCGGTGGGGGGGGGGGGGGGGGGGGGGGGGGGGGGGCCCCCTGGCCGGGGCGCGGGGGGGGGGGGGTGCGGGGGGGGGGCTTCGGGGGGCCCCGGGGGGGGGGGGGGGGGGGGGGGCCCCGAGATCCCTTCATCAGCAGGGGCTCAGGCTTTCGGGGATGTGCCGTACAGGGCCCGAGGCAGACAGACAGAGCTCAGGGGGCAGGGGAGTCTGTTCTACTGAGACTCCTGGACCCGCCCCCAGGAGCCTCTGTCGCTGTGCCAGTCCCTCGGACACGATGGGGTGGGGCCATTTCTGGTGCAACCTTTTAACAGTGAGAGTCATTCCCCAGGGGAACAGCTGCCCCAGGGACAGGGTGGAGTCTCTGACACATGGAGCATTTACATCGAGGGTGGCTGCTGCCTTTCTAAAGATTCGCTCTCATTCAGCCACCAGTTACTGAGTGCTACAGAGTCGCTGGCAGAAGGGGAGAAGATCTCCCCTGCAGGGACCCCAGGGCGGGTTTCTGGCCTGGGCTAGGCAATAGGTCAGACGGGATGGTCAGAATGGCCTTGACACCCAGGGAAATATGTTCTCCCCCCACGACTCAGTGGGGCTGACTCGCCTGCACTCACCCTCACTCGCTCCACCCCACTGAGGCCCTGAGCAATGTGAATCCTGTGGAGAGAAACGGGGTAGATAGACCTGATCACAGAGGAGCTGATCCCGGCAACCCCTACTGTAGTGTGGGTGCCCAGCGTGGCTCAGGATCAGGCCCATGATGGCTGGGGAAAGCCGCATGATTCAATAACCCTCAAGAGTCTCCCCTTATTTCTTTGATACGCAGCAAAATGTGAAATACCAAAACGCTGGGACTCCAGATTGCAGTTTTCCCCCAAGGGGCAGTTCTACTGCCCGGGTGAATCGGTGACACTGAGCTGCTCTGAGGGGTATCGGCCATCACCACTTGTGATCGAATGTGTCAGAAACGGGAGCCTGTCTGTCTGGAGTGAGACACCCACCTGCCAGGGTAAGTGTGAGACCCCCCGAGTCACTGCGGTCACAGGGGCCGGGCCAGCAGCCAGACTCTCTGTGACACTTTGGTATCTCCGGAGCCAGGTGGAAGCTCGCCCCATAAACCCTCTGGTTCATTTTGGCCTCTCAGCCTCTAGTATGGGGACCCTAAATCCTGCTGGAATTGCAGGGGGCCTCAGTCAGACCCCCCCGGCCCCGCCCGCAGGCCAATAATGAAGGGCAGGATCAGCCCAGAGACTCCCTGTCACCAGCGTGTCCATCTTCCTCGCTTCTCCCCCAGCCCTTTGCTGTGCTGGTTTCTCCAGGGCTCCCTTTGGCTCAGCTCTGCCACGGGATCACCCAGTGGCAGCCAGCTGCACCTTTCACGAGAACAGGATTTGCCAAGACTCAGACATTTGTTTCCCTCAAGGGGTTTGTACGACGGCAGGAAACTGGCCCCCGTCGGTCTCTGCTGCCTCCGCACAGACAGAGTTTGTCGTTGGCGAGAAGGTTTTGGTGACCTGTCGCCAGGAGCAGTACGAGGGGCGCCCGGCTTGGATGCAGTGTACGGAGACGGCTGGGCGCGTGGAGTGGGACACGAGCAATGTGAGCTGTGTGGGTGAGTTCTGCACAGACGGGCTGCAGGATCCAAACCCTGTGACACCAGGAGCCTCCAAGGAGGCCCCGCGACTTCCTGGGGGCGTATTTATGTCTTGAGTGTTCAGCTCAGACCTTCTGAAGGGTGTGAAGTGACAGTGACAGCGAGTGTGTGGGGCAAAGCAGCCTGCGTGGGGGGAGTGTGGTGAGGTTATAGGCCTGTGTTGGAGGGGTGTGAGGGGATGTCTGTGGGGTGTATTTGTGTGTGTGTGTGTGTGTGTGTGTAGGGGGTTGTGTGGCCAAGTATTACAGGGGTGTGTCTATGGGGTTGTGTATAGGGTGTCGGGGGGTGTTCTTGTGTGTATAGGGGTTTGAGGACGTATCACAGGGGTCGGCAACCTTTCAGAGGTGGTGTGCCGTGCCTTCATGTATTCACTCTAATTTAAGGTTTCACGTGCCAGTCAGACATGTTAACATTTTTAGAAGGTCTCTCTCTAGAAGTCTATAATGTATAACTCAACTATTGTTGTATGTAAAGTAAATAAGGTTTTAAAAATGTTTAAGAAGCTTCATTTAAAACTAAATTAAAATGCAGAGCCCCCCAGACCGGTGGCCAGGACCCAGGCAGAGTGAGTGCCACTGAACATCAGCTTGCATGCCACCCTTGGCACCCGTGCCATAGGTTGCCAACCCTGATATATCAGGTGTCTGTAATGGTGTGGGAGACGTGTGTTAGCTAGCAACGGTGTGTATTGCTGTGTCTGTGGGATGTAGGAGGTGTTAGGGTGTGTCACTGTGCATCAGGGCATAGGCATCGACTTCCTCAGTTCCCTGGGGGGGTGCTCAACCCCTGCTCCGCCCTAGTCCCCACCCCCACTCCACCGCTTCCCCCATGCCCCCACCTCTGCCCTGCCTCTTCCTGCCCCCGCTGCACCCCTCCCCCGCCTCTTCCAGCGCCTGCTCCTTCCCCTCCCCCGCAGGGCCTCCTGCACACCGCTGAACAGCGGATAGCAGCGGGCGGGAGGCGCTGTGGGGGAGGGAGAGGGGCTGATCCACGGGGATGTCGGTGGGTGCTGAGCAGCCCCAGAGCGCCCACGGAGTCGGCGCCTGCACGTGAGGGTGCGTATCAGTGTGTGGGGATGTTGGCGCCTGTACGTGAGGGCATGTATCAATGTGTGGGTTCATGGGTAAGGCCTGTTGTGATTATTTATTTGTATTACCAGTCGTCCTTAGGAACCCCAGCCATGGCCCAGGACCCCCTGGCGCTAGGTGCTGTACAAACGCTGGACAGACAGACAGCTCCTTGCGGCAGGGACTGACAGTCTAATGTGGGGACTGGAATCTCGCCTTTTTCTACTGACACCAAACCTGATTGTTCTCCCAACAGAAAAGTGCCCCAAACCCAGCTGGGCCTCAGCTCTGCGGTTCGAACCAGACAAGATGTATTATAGCAGGGAGGAACCAGTGACCCTGAGCTGCCCTGAGGGGTTTGAGCCCTCGCATCCCATGATCACATGTACCGGACAGAGGAACCGGAGCGTCTGGAATGAGATTGCTGCCTGCCTGGGTAAGTGTGGGCCCCCTATGTGGGTCACCGTGATTCCAAGGGCCTGGACTGGTGCCGGATGCTCCGTGACCCTTCGATACTGTAGGGAGGAAGGAATTGCCATCCCAGATCAGAGCAATGGTCCAGCTCAGGCTTTCGGGGATGTGCCGTACAGGGCCCAAGGCAGATAGACAGAGCTCAGGGGGCAGGGGAGTCTGTTCTACTGAGACTCCTAGAGCTGCCCCCAGGAGCCGGAGCTGCAGCCTCTGTCGCTGTGCCAGTCCCTCGGACACGATGGGGTGGGGCCATTTCTGGTGCAACCTTTTAACAGTGAGGGTCATTCCCCAGAGGAACAGCTGCCCCAGGGACAGGGTGGAGTCTCTGACACATGGAGCGTTTACATCGAGGGTGGCTGCTGCCTTTCTAAAGATTCACTCTCATTCAGCCACCAGTTACTGAGTGCTACAGAGTCGCTGGCAGAAGAGGAGAAGATCCCCCCTGAAGGGACCCCGGGGCAGGTCTCTGGCCTGGGCTAGGCAATAGGTCAGACGGGATGGTCAGAATGGGCCCTTCTGGCCTTGATACCTATTGTTGCCGGCACAGAGTGCCCGAGGCAAGCAGCAGCTGGGTTTGTTGCCCGGTGTGCGTCGCGCCAATGAACACAACGGGGTGGAGAAGCAGAGAGATTTATTTGAAGCTTTAAATAGGGCGCAGGGAGACTGAGCTGTTTTAAATTTTGCAGCTCTGAATGCAGATTACGGTATACATTTATATTTTTGTTTATTTTATTATATAAGCTTATGCAATTAATTATTTGTTGTCCTGTACAATACTGTAGCCAATTAGCTAAAGCAGCCAGTTGTGTTTTTTTTAGTAGCATTGCGCGAGCCTTGCCTTATTTGGGTTTATTTGTTACTAGTTTTTGCGAAACATTTTTGTCTTATCTATACGTTTCCCAGGCCGAAGCTGGCCTTGGCTAGCGAGCCCTGTGCAGACCTGTCTGTTTGTATGCTAGCTTCCTCAGAGTTGGGCAGGGTCACCGAAAGTTCAAGCAGCAGAGGGGCTTCAGTTTGCCTGGGCCTAGAGCAAGAGGGCTTCACTGACACTCGTGGCTTTTTATTTTTCCGAGTTACCTAGAGTAGTGCCCAGTGTCACCAGCAACTCCCTCTTCTGAGAACACTTAACAAGCTTGCAACTGAGTTTTTTTATATTTTAAGGACAATAAGTGATTAAGTGCTGAGGAGTTAGAATCCTAAGCAAGAGCATATAATGGGGTTTTTGTGGAGTGGGAGGCAGATATTTTATATATGAGTGCTTTATAATAGGCAAGCACGAGGAGAATGATAATACACAGCACAGCATTTGTGAGCAGGAGACGAACAATGCCTTCCCCCAGGTCGGGCAGCCATTTTTAGAGTGAGTCAAAAAGAGTGGGCTCTTTTTTGGGGGCTTTTTATTGGTTAAGGGCCTGTTCGGCTGACAGGATGTGCTTGTTAATATTTTGTGCATTTTTTGGGACATACGTACAGCATTTATTTTTAATCAGGGCACACACTTTGCCCTGTGCAGCTAGAAGGTAATTTAAGGCCTGGCGGTTTTGCAGGGACAGCAACCGGAATTGGTAAAGCTCTGAATTAAGGCTTTTTTTTATGGCTAAGGTATTATTGGCAAACTTAGTGAGAAATACAGAAAGCTGACGATAGCGGTTGGCCAATTTACCTATTCCGTAGCCTAGGATAAGAATTATACTGAATTTGTCCCCTTCACTAATGGGTACAGGGGTGGCATACAGAGACCGCCGATGCCGGGGACAGCCAGACAGGAGTTGGGTCATGACCCAAAGGGGAGGGATAAGGTATCCCACATAACAGCTTTCATGTCAGTGGTGGGATAGCCATTTATAGGCAGAGTTACTACAGATATAAAAGGACTGGATGTTGGCCACCTGGCCATTAAGACCCGCTTTGATTTGAGAGGCCAGAGAGGGAGGATAATATATTTGTTTTATTTTTTGGTTTTAGGCCATTTTATTGTACAGGGGAATAGTAACATTGTTACTAGAGGAGAGATAAAATTGACAGGTGCTGTTTTTAGCAAACCAGGTATGGTTAGCAGTGGCTTCCTGGCATTTATAAAGGAGACTTAAGGGGACGGAGCGTAGCTGGATGGGAGGGGGTTATGGGTCGAATTTCAGTAGGGTTTTTAGGGATTAATGTTGCTGCTAAACTTGGCCTTTTTAGAACAGTTTTTTATTAAGGTGGGCTGCGTTTGCAACTGAGTGGCGTTTGCTTTTATTTATTTGTTATAGAGGTTTGACCAGTTGTGGGGGGGGTCACCCTTCATGGGAAGCTGGCCACATGGTAGGGGATCTGGGAACATATTTAGCAGTTGGAAAGATTAAATTTCCGGGCAAAGGCTATTTTGAGGCCTTTATAGGTATTTATATTTAGATTAATGTTTTTTTTTTTTTTTTTTAGAGAGAGAGATATGGGGACTACTAGGCAAATGACATTTACTATGAGGGACCTTATGCCCTTGTAGTCCTGCCCCCCCACCCCGGTGCTTATGTTTTTTTAAATAATAATTTGAGTTTAAGATTGTCGGAGGGTGACGTGGTGATGGGCTGGACGGTTCACTGTTCCGCTGGGGAAGCAGTAGGCACCGCGTTCAGGCGAGAGTGATGGATTCAGTTTTTGTGGTTTTTGACCTTTGCTGCCGTGTGGGAAACCAGCAGGATGGTGTGGGGTCCCTTTTACCTTTTTTGGAGAGGCTTGTTTTTTTAGGTACAAACAAGCACGGAGTTACCTGGCTGCAAGGAGTGGACAGGGGCATCCAATGGAAGAGGCTGGAAGTCTTTGGTATACCTGTGGAGAGAAGAGAGAACAGCAGACAGAGAGCACATATACTGAGACAAAAAAAACACACTTTATTTTTTATTTTTTTGTTAGAACCGGTGTCCCATTTATAGGCCGTGCCCTTTTAAACATAATTTTAAAGGGACTAAGCCCTAGTTTACCCTTTGGGAGAGCGCGGACGCGGAGCAGGACAAGGGGTAGAGCATTGGGCCATTGCAGGGGGGCTTTTTAGCGCACTTTTGAGAGGTGTTGCTTAAGGGTTTGATTGGTACGCTTTACTACACCGCTGGCCTGCGGTCTTTAGGCCGTGTGGAGTTTCCAGGGTATCTGTAAGGCATTTGAGATGTTTTGAACGATTTTTGATGTGAAGTGCGTCTCATTGTTAGATTTTATTTATTGGGGGAGTCTGAAGCGGGGAATAATTTTCTTAATGAACTTGAGGGCCACTGTTTTGGCAGTGCAATTACGGCATGGGAAGGCTTCACGCCATCCGCTAAATTGGTTTACCAAGACGAGGAGATATTTGAACCCTTGAGTTCGGGGAAACTCAGTAAAATTTATTTGCTACACCAGTTCAGGGCCTGGAGTGGGTTCCAGGGTAGCTGGTGTTATTGGATGTCCTGGCCGGGGGTTATTCTTTTGGCAGACTAAACAGTCAGCTTGTATTTGGGTAGCCAGGGGTCGGAGTTCAGAAGTCAAGAAGTATTTTTTTATTAGCTGGATAAGGGCCTTCCTGCCGGCGTGAGTGGTTTGGTGTAGCTGCTGCAGTACTGGCCGGATCAAGCCCTTCGGTAGGAGGATCTTCCCTTCCGGGGAATGAAGCCATTTTTTTTTTTTTTGTTGAAGACTGAGTTTGTTAGCTAGTTTTTTTTTTTTTTTTAGAGTACTGAGGGGTTGGAAGCTCCCCCACTGATGGGATGAGGGTATGCCTGTGGGCATCCTCAGCTTCTGGTGGAGTCAAGGTGGCGGCATGCTTGGCTTTTCTGTCCGCCCTGGCATTGCCCCTGGCCACGTCTTCATTTTTCCTTTGACAGGCTTTACAGTGCACCACCGCTACTTCCGAGGGGAGTTGTATGGCTTTTAGGAGCCGGAGAATTTGGGGCCCGTACTTGACTGGGGAGCCTTGGGCCGTTAGCATTCCCCTTTGCTTTTACAGGCCAGCATGAGCATGCAGTACCCCAAAAGCATACTTTGAATTGGTGAAAATGTTGACCCACTTCCCCTTTGACAGTTCGAGTGCACGGGTCAGGGCTACTAGCTCAGCCAGCTGGGCAGAGGTCCCGGTGGGCAACCTCTCGGCCTCTACGGTATCATGGAGGGTTACAACAGCATAACCCGCCCTGCTTTGCCTTTTTATGACAATGCTGCTACTATTAGTTTACCACTCAGAATTCGCATTTGGGAGTGGCTGATCCTTTAGGTCCCAGCGGCTGGAGTATTGGGCATCTATGATTTTTAAACAGTTGTGTTCTTGTTCCTCTGTTTCTGGCAAGAGGGTGGCTGGGTTAAGGGAGGGGCAAGACTGCAGGGTGACCTCGGGGTTCTCTAACAGCTTAGCCTGATACCGAGCAATCCGAGTCTGGGTGAGCCAGAGCCCACCCTTTGTGTTTAGCAGGGCTCGGACCATATGGGGAGTATAGATTTGCATAATCTTTTTTAATGTTAGCTTTTTAGCTTTTTTTAGTACTAGGGCAGTAGCTGCAACCGCCCGTAAACATGCCGGCCAACCCTTTGCAACCTGATCCAGTTGTTTGGAAAAATAAGCCACGGGACGTTTCCAGGTCCCCAACAACTGGGTTAGCACTTCCAGGGCTATCCCTTTTTGTTTATGTATATACAATTGAAATGGCTTAGAGAGATCCGGCAGACCCAGGGCTGGAGCTTTTATTAGCTTCCTTTTTCATGTCTCTGCCGTGCCTCCTCCCTTGCCTTAGCTGTAACCTGATTCCGCTCCACCTTAGACAACAAGGTTTTTAGGAGGATATTACAGTTGTCCCAATCCGGCTTGTGACTACTGAGGCACCCCTCAAAGGCTGAAATAAAGCGGCTTGGGTTCGTTGAGAATTTTCCAGCCTGTGTTTTAAAAGCTGCTAAGTTTATTGGATTGAAGGGCACATGGGTGTAAACTTGCACGGTGGTAGCCTGGCGTCCGTCTGCCCCTGGGCA